CATTGATTTTTGGTTCAGCATCCTAGGGCCGGTGGCAGCCCGAGCTGACGTTATTGATGGCATTGGGCGCCACGGGCATCAATCGTGCTGTATACGTAGTGTCGGACGGTCGAGCAGTTCTTGCGGAATGGCAACGTGGCAGTTGCGGACATTCAGCTCAGTCAAAGCCTGCAATCCGGTAACCGACTCGGGCAGGCTCTTCAGTGACTTCCATCCTTGTAATTCAAGTGCAGTCAACGCGGTCAACCTGCCAACAGCCTCAGGCAGGCTCACAAGTGACTCGCACCATGCCAAGTCTATGGACGTCAACGATGTCAGGTTGCTAAACTCAAGAGTCTCTGGCTTGCTGACAAGCTGATTGCAGTCAGCGAGGCCCAGCGACTTCAATGGTGTCAAGTTGCCGAATGAATCGGGCAGGTTTGTGAGTGACTTGCAAAGCCCCAAGTTGAGGTTGGTCAACGCCGTCAGTTGCCGAAGGAGTCGGGCAGGCTCATGAGTGACTGGCAGTCAATCAAGTTGAGCGTTGTCAGCGCCGTCAGGCAGCTTAACGACTCTGGCAGGCTCTTGAGTGACTCGCATTCATTCAGGTCGACCGAGGTCAACGCCGTCATGCCGCCGAATGATTCGGGCAGGCTCGTGAGCGAGTGGCAGATTATCAGGCCGAATGAGGTCAGCGATTTCAAGTTGCCGATGGATTCCGGCAGCTCGCTGAGCGCTGCGCACTCCACTACATCGAGCCGCTCCAAAGCAGTCATGTCGCCGAAGGCCTCATGCAGACGCGTGAATGCGCTGCAATAGTGCAGGCGGAGGCTGGCAAGCGACAGCGGCGCGTGCACCTTGCGCAGGGGGACCCCGCTGAGATGGAGCTCCGTGACGCTGTCCGGCACCTGCAGCGGCGGGTGGTGGTCGGGCTCCTCGTCGCAGCCCACGCACAGCAGCCCCAGCTCAGTGATGCCAGCGGGCAGCGGCACGGCGGCCATGGTCGCGAAGTCTTCTGTGCCGATGCTGAAGAATTTGAGCGCTCCGGCGCGCGTGCTGCTGAGCACGCGCTCGATCCATGTCGGCCCCCCGCCGTCTGGCCAAGAGCCCGAGATGACCACGTCGAGCTCCCCCACAGCCAGGCCGGGGGGGAGGTAGGCGCCGGTAGCGTCCGCGCCGTCCTCAATGCTAAGGTACTACTAGTACTACTAGTAGTCTAGGGAGGCCGGCCAGGTGACGGACAGCAGCGGGTCGCCCAGCACGCCGAGCAGGCTGACGCGTCACACATTTCTGAACGTGAACAGGGACGAGAGCAGCGTCACGTTGTCGCTTCAGACGCGCACTTGCGTTGCCGGCCTGATGGTCGCACGGACGCATCTGTTGAGGTCCCACGCTGCTCTGAGCTACAACAGATTTCGGGTTGATTCGGTGCCGAAACACGGTCAGTGGCTGTGCAGTGGTACAAGATAGACATGTATACCAGCACGACTTACCTCGTCTTCTGTGTGTGTCACTCACTCATGTGTGTGTGGCTCAACAACAAATCCACCTCGCTGTTCAACTTGAACCTGGTTCAACTTGAAGATGGGCAGGTGTGTCGTGTGCACATGTGTCGTTCGTCGTTCAGTGTCAGTTCAGTTCAGGCTGCGAGCATCCACCACTGCTCGCTGGCGCCGAGGTGGGTTGCCTGAGATCCGACAGCTAGCCTCATCAGCGTGCGCTGACGAAGGGCAGGCAGGGGCATAGTAGATACCGCAGGTTTGCCCTTTCTGCGTCATCAGCAGGCAGCCGGCGCACCAGGGGCATCAGTTACCGTCGCACTGGCGGTATCAGGTGCGACGGGTGAGAAAGGGAAGGGGACGGCGGCTACGAGCAGCCGCTCGAGTTGGGCCTATGCAGACTACTCGTTCTGACTGTGACAGCGGGTCGAATTCGGAATCGGATGCAGACACTACGATGGACGTCGGATCAAACAACAACGATCGCTGGTGTGCAGAAGCCCGCAGCTTTAGGGCCCTTGGCCACAACAGCCACGGCAATGGAAGTGAGAGAACACGGCAGCGCACCGCGATGGCTCTGCACACCGGCGAGGAACTGCGTTCAGCAGCGGCACCCTTCTCGGGTTACCCTGATGCCTGCAAACTTCAACGAGGGTGACCACGCTGAGCAATCCGTGGCGGCTTGAACGTGGGCGCACAGGTCGGCGGCAATAGTGGCATGAAGCAGATGATGATGGGCCTCATGCCATGCAGTGCTCGCCTCGGCGTTACAGTTCGTGGCGCCCTTCACGGTACGAGCAGGCTCGCCGCCGTCAGTGGGCACGTGCTGCCACCCTCCGCCGCTGTGTGGTACAGACTCGAGCAAGTGAGATGCTATGCTTGCGCACAGCGGCGCGCACTTCTGCACCATACGTGGACGCGCAGCACTGCCAGCCGCAAGGAGGGAAGCTTGGCTGCATCTTTGTGGACCACGTGCGGCTGTTGCGAACGTATGTGCAGCGCGGCAGTGGCGCGAACGGCATATTCTTCAAGCCGTTCATAGACCGCTATAGTATACACAGACCTCGATCTCGCGCACGTTGTACACCGGTGCTGTCACCGCCGCACCGTCCGTGTCCTCTGTCATGTACTGGTCTATGAACGGCTCGAAGAAGATGCCGTTTGCTCCGCTGCCGTGCTGCACGTACGTCCGGAGCAGTCGCACGTAATCTACGTAAATGCAGCCAAGGTCCCCCCTGGCGGCAGCTGTGCGTCCACGCATGGTGTAGAAGCGTGCTCCGCTGTGCACTGACATGGTGTCTTCAAGTTGCTGCTCTGGTGTGGACCAGACAGCGGCAGACGGCGGCAGCACGTGGCCCACTGGCGGCGGCGAGCCGGCTGCTACCGTGTAGAGCGCCACAAAGCGGGACGCCGAGTCGTGCATCAGGCCCAGCATCATTTGCTGCACGCCGCTGTTGCCGCCGACCTGCGCGACCACGTGGAGAGCCGCCGCGCACTGCTCAGCGTGGTCGCGCTCGTTGAACGTCGCAGGCGGAAGGTAGCTTGAGTTACTGTAGGGTGCCGCTGAACGCAGTCCCTCGCCGGTGTGCAGTGCCATCGCGGTGCGCTGCCGTGTTGTCTGACTTCCGTTGCCGTGGCTGTTCTGGCCAAGGGCCCCAAAGCTGTGGGCTTCTGCACCCCAGCGGTCGTTGTTGTCGTCAGGCTCGGCATCGACGTCCATCATGCCAGTGGTGTCTGCGACGTCGAAGTCTGCGCCCGACTCCGACTCTGACTTGCTGTCGCAGTCGGACCCCGAGTAGTCTGCTGCAGCACTGGGCGAGGCCGCCTCGCGCGGCTGCTCACGACCGCGCCGCCGCTCCCTGCCTCACCCATGCCATCAGCCACGCCGCTGCGATGGCGACTGCTGCCCCTGCTGGTGCGCTGGCTGCTGCCGCTGATGCGCGGCTGCCATAGCCTGCGGCCGCCATCATCTGTGCCCCCTGCCCGCTCTTCATCAGCGCGCGCCGAATGCGCAGCGTTGAAATGCACTGCCGGCCGCTGGGGGGCAAGGTCAGCTGCTGCGCCGCCCCCCCCAGGCCGCCTGCCTCATGATGCTTGCCGGCATACTTTGCCAAGGCGGTGAAGATCAGTGGCACACACAACGAGGCATTCTCGAACAGGCCTGGACCCCCCCTGAGGATTCCCCAGCTCAACAGCAGCGCGCCGCCACTGCCACAGCCACGCATCCGATGAGTCGTTGCCACCACCAGCATCAGCGGCATGAGTTTGCCGCAGCGGCTGACAACGCCAAAGGCTATCGGCAGGTGATCTCCGACGTCGAATGCCGGCGACACTATGTCGCCCAGCATCAAGAGGATATTCATATGGCATCATGACGTTTCACCCGTCTACAATGATGTGCCTGTGGGCATCCAGCAGCTGGCCTGCCGCATCCCTGTCTCCCCCGTTGTTGTCACGGGAGTCCTTGCCAAGCATGCATAGCACTATAGAATACCTACCTAATGTCAGATGGCAAAAAGAGGCATAGATTTCAACCCGCGCACTCAGGTATGGACGCAACTGCCGATCTGACCACTGTGCCAGCAGCACAGTCACTACAGTGGTGACAGCGACTCAGTCTGCTGCCGCGCGCTGCGGCGGCGCCCTCAAGGTCATGTGCCACTGCCGCTGCTGGCGCCGCTGCCGCTGCCGCTGCCGCTGCCGCTGCCGCTGCCGCTGCCGCTGCCGCTGCCGCTGCCGCTGCCGCTGCCGCTGCCGCTGCCGCTGCCGCTGCCGCTGCCGCTGCCGCTGCCGCTGCCGCTGCCGCTGCCGCTGCCGCTGCCGCTGCCGCTGCCGCTGCCGCTGCCGCTGCCGCTGCCGCTGCCGCACTCACTGCAGTCTCTACATGATGTACTACGAGTAGTCGGTGTGCGGCACACTGTGGCATCATGGTCCTTGCCAGGCGTGCATACCAGTAGTACCACGCAGTACCCTCAGTCAGATGGCGGAAAGAAGCATGGATTTCAACTGGCTCCAGTCATCAGCACAGGCACCGCGCCACGGCAAAGGCCGTGGCGCACATCATGCTGTGCAGGGACGAAAGCGTTGGCATGCGCATTGTACACAGAAAAATGTGCTGACGCAAATGTGTGCAAGGTGCGCCGCACATAAAAACTGCTTTCAAGGGCACGGAGACAAACGCGCAGGCTCTGCGCACTGACAGCAAAAAGGGGGCTGCCGCTGCGAGACCGTTCGGCTTGCCGCAAGTTGAACTTTAGCTTGAGCTTCGAAAGATGCGCAAATGAAGAGAAGCGGGGTGGAGTGGAGGCCCCATGCCGTCGGGGAAAAAGGTGCAAGGAGCAGAGCAGGCGCACCGAGCACCAAAGTGTTGCAAGAAGATGATGGTGGCAGATACCAAAACCACCAGATACCAGGATTACGTCCATCAGACACGAAACAAACGGCGCATCATCACCTGGAGTGGCAAATGTTAAATGCATCAGGTACCAGAATCATACTTGACTGTCACGAAAACAAATTCGTGGGGTCTTAGCTCATTTGGCAGAGCGCGCGCTTAGCATGCACGAGGTAGGGGGTTCGATTCCCTCAGACTCCTTACTTTTTCGTTGTTGTGGGTCCTGCCTTGTGGGGTGTCGTCCAGAAACATGCTGAAATGTATGATATTCATTGGACTTTTTTGTTGAAGATTCATAATGTTTGTCTGTCGATGAAATGGCTACCTGTCTGACGCTGTGCAAGTTCCCTGAGGTGTAGATTCCCTGAGGTGTCTATTCCCTGAGGTGACGATGTGCATCAACATCAACGGCTGCGCTTCGCGCAGCCGTTTGAGTGACACATGCAGATGGGGCCAAGTATGCTTGACGAATGCTTAATAGGCCACATCGACGTGCTTGCAACACGCCTGTACACCATTGGAAAGTCAGTGTGCCTCTGGCAGCCGGTCCGTGTTAATCATTGGGCTGCGCTGCGTGCAGCCGATGCAATGTCGACCAACTTGACGTCCCTGCAACAAACCTGTACTGTACACCATTCCGAAGTCAGTGTGCCTCTGGTAGCCGGTCCGTGTCATTCATTGGGCTGCGCTGCGCGCAGCCAATACAAGGGGCCCAGGGTGGTGCTTGTGCTTTCTTGTTACACAACAGTCTCTCAGTAATGTGTCGACGCATGTGCCGTACACAATTTGACTTGCAATATGATCACATCCTGGAATGCAGCTGGCCTCTCTTCAAGACTTTATAGCTGTGCGCGTCTGCAGTGCTTGTGCCCCAAGGTCTGGTTGCGACTACGCATAATGGACGTTGGCTATTCATTGGAGTCTCAACAATGAAGTGCGCATAGAGTGCACCCGCAATGAACAAAGCAGACTTGCACATTGTGTGGAACCTGCACCTGCGCTCATGGACTTGTCGTAGTTGGCTCCGACTGCTCAAACGTGCTTCACCAGTTTCTCAGGCATGATGAACACCAATGGCACATTGCATGTACATGTGCACGATGATTGACGATTCATAGCGTTGAATGACACAGGGCCAGTGTTGCCGGTAGCGGCAGAGGTTGTGCGGTGGTGCACAAACACTTCATTGGCAGGTTATCACCATCAATGACTTGTCGACATATGTGCAAGGCGCCCATTGATTCATTTGTAAACAGCACAATGGCCTGTTGTAGAAACTGCCGCTTGCTATGTTCACCAGGGCTATTTGAGCCTTACAGACTCTCTGGAACAGAAATGAACACATCATCCACTCCGTGTGTCGAGGTATCGAGACCGACATCATGCTGCGCACGACATCATGCTGCGCACGACATCATGCTGCGCACGCATTCGCGACTACTTACCTGTGAGCATTACACCGGCATGCTGCCAAGCTGATGTGTAGCATGTATTATGCATTGTGTGGATATGCGCCGAGTCAGAGCAGTAACATCATCAGGCAGCACATGACCCAAGTGCACAGCAGGACACCCGCTGCTCGACACAGCCACAGTACAGCCGAGCACAGCACACGGCAAGGCCGCCACACAACAAAATGGAGTACTTAAGAACTGCACCTGTACATTCATGTCATCGAAACGATGAGGCAGGCGTGTCCTTGATCTGCGCATCCAGCCTCAGAATCCTATCCTTCACGGCCTCGAGCTCGCCGTGCACGTACTCCCGCGCAGCAGCGAGCTTCTGCACGTCCTCCTCCGCGGAGAAGTCCTTGTAATACTGCAGCTGCGGGTGTTCGCGCACCGCCGCGGTCTGCCCCTCCATGAGACAGGCGAAAAACCCCTCTTTCGGGTCTGTGAACACTATCTCGTCATATCGCTCTGTGACAACTGGAACCCCTGGCCCCGGTGCCGGCATTCCCGCGTCCGCATAGAGCTTGACGGGGTGCGGCACATCAATGGGCCTCTCTGCGGGGTCCTTGAAATGGAGTGTGATCTTCGCCTCGAACTCACCCCACCCTTTCTCCGTCACCTCGTACGGCCACTCCGTGAGCTCCCGCGTGGGGGGCTCGAAGGACGCGTGCAGGGTGAACACCACCTTGGACACGAAGTAGCTGATGTCCTCCCCGTGCGCCCCCCTCACGTACAGCGTCCAGCAGTGCGTGTGCAGCTCGTCGCCGTCCTTCCCCAGCAGGAAAGCCACGCAGCCGAACACCACCGGGCAGCACACCGTCACGCCGCTCATCCGCTCTCCGCCTGCTGGCCCTCCTCCGCTCATAGCTGCTGTCGCTGCTCCTGTAGCTAGCATGGCAGCAGCCAATGGCGGTGACGGTGACGCCGCAGCCGATCTTGGGGCAGAGATTTCGGATGTCGCTGATGCTTCGACTTCCATCCGCGTTCTCTCTTCTGCTGGCTCCCACTGCAGTAGCTGATGCTCCTGTGTATCAAGTGCCTGTCCAGCAGTCTCGCAGCGAGCTTGTGTTGAATTTCACTGCAATCGAGTAGCAGTGGCAATGCTGTGTTGTCTCCAGGCGATCCTGATCTTTGCATGCATGCGCAATGATCATCTTTCCACGCGAGGCCACACTTCAACTCCTGAACTGAACAACTGTTGAAGTCGGGTCACCGATAACCGGCGGTCAGCTAAATCACTTAGTCAGCATGGACAGGAGCGTAATGGCGCCAACTGCTGCTGAGGCCGAGCCAGGGGATCATGGTGACTAGCAACTGTCCCACGCCAGCAAGCGATGCGGCGTACATGAGCGCACCGGCTCAACATTGGAGGCTTCAGCGGTTTTTACTGGCGGGGCTGAATCTCAATTGGGTGCGTAATGGTTCCGCAACATTAATCGCTCGAGAACACGGCGAGGTTGCAAGGCCCTCGTGGGCGCGAAGGACGCGAAGTGCCGCTGTTGGCAGCACTTGCGCAAAAGTGCATGGAATGACTGGATATACCACATGTGCGCTAAGGTTGACGCAGTGCGTGAGAAGGCGGAGAGCAGGAGCATCTGAACTTGGTGCACAGCGCAGTGCTCGACCCGAATGCCTACACCAATTGTGTCTGCAAATGACACCAATGCATGAGCAGTGGGTGGGGCAGCTGGTGCCATGTCTGGCGACGCAGTGTGCGCACAGCCAGCCCCGCAATCTTTTGTGCGCTTACAAAACTTGAATAGACAGAGACTGCCACAAGGGAACTGACGGGCAGTGTTCACGCTGCAGCAGCGGCAGCAGCAGGTCCTCGGTCACTCACGCGTGCAGGTGCCATCGCCAGTTCAACCAGCACACATAAATTGACAGTCCGATCAGGCGTACTCATTGCTGGCCAGTGCTGGGCCGCAGCAACCACGTGGGGGATCCGGCGGTGAAGTCGTCCCACGGATGTCATCGGTCCTCGACACACGGTGTCCGCCCGCTGCTTGGCGGGCACACTGCCCGATGGTGGCACGTACTGACGGCATGGCGTAGAGCTTTTGTCGTGTCTTGTGCAGTGTCTGATGGATGTCGTGTGCCTCACGATGCCAATCTACCTCCCTTAAATGTACAGGCATGTTGCCTTCCATGGCGTGCATCGCCATAGTGCAGAGTAAGTCCCCACTTTTTAGAAGAGAGTTAAGTACGCGTCCTTCCCAGAGGTTGTGATCCTTGCAACCTCCTTGAAGCGCTTTCTGTACAGTCCGCGACACAGATCCTGCAGTCTCACCAAAACTGACTGAAGCGCCAATGCAACTGCATCATGGCACATTCTTGTACTAGGCGCGGTCAGCCTGTACAGCAGCAGCACGTCTATAACATAAGCTGCACTTCAGCATATGGTGCTGTAACTGTGACACCTGCCTTGGCTGTGTTCCGTTGTGGCAGAGCGACCTGTTCTCCATGTCATTGTCTTGTCGTGATACACACTGCAGTTTGTCATGTTATTAGTGCTGCTTGACAGCGCAACACGCGCTGATGCATCTACATCTGAAGTATGCAGCTGCCACACTGAAAGAGATGCGTCGAAGTAGCCGCAGTGCATGAGCTGTTGGGTGCTGACCGCGGATGCTTTTGTGCGCAGTAAACATTGTGATCAAAATGGACAACAGTACAACATGAGCTCATAATGTCCCCACCTTTGCACAGCCTACAAAACAAAGCTTGTTTCATCAGCATTCTGGCCAGTCACCAACGAGCACCACCAATTCCGTCACGCACTGTCAATGCACAGGCTCGTGTGCATCATTGGACTGACAGCACAGCACATTTGCCTCCAATTGCAATGTTTGCGCGGTGCTGACTGTGTGACGTATTGTGTCCGTTACGTGGTGTCATAACGACATATGTGTGCAGGTAACCGTGTGCAGCGCAAGGTGACTGATAGCATGTCACGTTCGTTTTCAAACCATGACGTTCGCATGGTGTTGCTTGTATGATGTTAGAAGTATAATACACGTATGTCCATTCTGTGGCGTCACATTGCATACAAACGCAACTTACCGTGCGCAGCACAAGGTGGTCACCACATGCTGAACGCATGGCGATGCATAACATATACGGAAAAGAATCAAAAGATCGTAGAGCTCTAGGTGACAGGGTTGACCAGCCGTCGAATTGGATGCCTTCCACCAATAATCGTGTATATATATCGCAGAGCTCGCGGCCTCCACCTACGGCGGCGCGCAGCGCCGCTCCACGACAAGCGCGAACGGCTCGCCTTTCGCGACGGCGGCGCGCATTTGCTGCAATGTCTCATCGAAAGTGCCGCACGCCGCGTCGTCACACTCGAGCAGCACATCACCGGGCAGCACTCCAGCGTCCTGCGCGGGGTTCGGCAGGCCGCGCCCGAGCTGCCGGAATCCCAGCACCGCGCACCCTCCCACAGCGCCATGGCCCCCTATATTCATGCCCAGTCCCTCCGGGCGCGGCGTGAGCGTCATACTCACGCGCCACGGCGGCGGCCCCGCGCCCGCAGGCTTTACCGGGCCGCGCGGCCCCATCGCCCAGACGAGCGGCGGCGCCGGCGGCGCCTGCGGAATTCGCGGCGCGGCGGCGGCACCGCGCTCCTGCTGCTGCTGCGACAGCAGCTGCTGTTGCTGCTGCAACAGCTGCCGCTGCTGCTGCTGGTACTGCTGTAATAGCATCTGCTCCTGCAACAGCAGCCGCTGTTGCCACTGCGCCAGCTGC